TACATTCAGTCAGGATTTGGGTCGAACCAGCGGCAGTTTCTTCCTACTCCCACCGGCTTCGGAAACGCGGATCTCAGTTGGCTGTCCATTTCAAGTCAGCAAGAGCTTTTCAAGATGGTCAGACCGCCTTATTCCTATTCAGCGCTGATTGCGATGGCTATTCAGAACGCGCAGGATAAGAAACTGACGCTCAGTCAGATTTATCAGTATGTGGCGGAAAGCTTTCCTTTTTATAAGAAAAGCAAAGCCGGATGGCAGAACTCCATAAGACACAATCTGTCCTTGAACGATTGCTTCAAGAAAGTCGCGCGGGATGAGGACGACCCTGGTAAGTTTGAATGCTCTTTAGTCAAAGTTTGGCCTGCATAATTACGCGCTAGATTTTAGTCCAATACTAACATGTTTTCCCGTTTCTTTTTTTAAGGGAAAGGAAATTACTGGACTTTGGACCCCAACTGCGAGAAAATGTTCGATAACGGCAACTTCAGAAGGAAGAGAAAGAGAAGAGCTGATGGAAACGCCAGTAGCCTGTCGGTAAAATCCGAGGACGCGCTCAAATTGGCGGACGCGGTGAGTCTGATGAGCGCATCTCCGCAGAGCCTCCAGAACTCTCCGACCTCAAGCGAACCCAAATCGTCCCCTTCACCATCCGCAGAGCACAGCCCGTGTTTTAACAACTTTATCGGTAACATGAACTCGATAATGGCTGGAAACGGCAACGGGATCAGAAGCAGAGACGTCAGTTCTGGACACTTGGGGGATTTTACGCACGGCATGTCTGGACATGAAATTGCCCCTCCATCAGAACCGGGCCATCTCAACACCAACAGACTGAACTACTACTCAGCGTCCCATAACAACAGTGGCTTGATCAACTCGTTCTCCAATCATTTCAGTGTCAGTAATCTCATTTACAACCGGGACGGAACAGAAGTTTAGAATTTGTGAACCTCTAATGTGCTCTGTGAGTACATGGACAATCTGTTCTTACATTAGACTTCATTTCTATGCATGCTCACCTCAGCTGCACAGCTCATTTTCATTCAGACTCTCTGGTGTTTTGGAATGCATCAGCAAGTGGGTTTGCATCATTTACATTTATTCTGCTATGAATAAATGGTAACTTTGCACCAAACTGTGATACGTAACAAGTCCACGCATGTCTATTTCCTAGGCCACCATAACAAGTGCCTTCTGTTTTTTGTAGAACAAATGTAGATAGATTTTATTTAAATAGAATGTTTTTGATTTGTAAATAAACATGCATATATCTGAAATGTCTGTAGCTTCGATTTCTGTTTATTTGCTGTTTATGATGTTTTCCCATTATCTGCTCAATGGCACAACAAACACAAACACCTAGTGCATCTCAGTGTGTTCCCACGCGATCAGCGGGTGGCTGCAGAGATGCACATAACTGTAACAGCAATTAAGACATGTTTGCATGTTTATGTAGTTTGTTTACAGTAGCTCGCAATTATATATAGTTTGTTTGTGGATGGCTGCAATCAAACAGGCAGTTTACTGACAACTTTTAATTAGCTTTTGCACTAAAGTACAGTTTAGTTTTGAACAGTAGCATTGAAAGATCAGATTACACTTGAAATTTTGAGTGAAAATGTGTTGTGTTCTTTCTGGAACCCTACATTTCAAGGTAATTTAACCAGCGCCCATCTTTTTCCCATAACAGCTCAACTCCAGCAAACATATTGAGTTGACAATTATTTATCAAAAGAATTTCAGGTTTAATCGAGCGTTTGAATTAATCCGTGCCCCCGCTGTGTCCTCTCCTAATTGCTTTCTGCAAAAAGCCAGACACATTTAACTCTTCACTGTCCTCATTATCTCAGGGAACTTTTTCAGCCTGTTTATTTACTGTACAAGCTCTGGCATTGAGTGGAACAGACTCATTTGAGTGATGGTGTAAATA